AGTGGTCTATTAGTACCTTCTTTCTCATTTGTCAAGATCAGGAGTCATTTCTGTTTCCTAGAAAGCCTTCATTTCATAGAAATGTATAAATGTTGGAGTAGAGCGTTCAACAGTGTGATTGTTTACCACTTATTTTCTTCCAAGTCTGCCTTTTTTTCTTCTCTGTTTTCTCATTTGGTCTCCAACTGCATTTTTAATTGGTGTCCTCGCCTCTCCCAAGATTGTGCCACGAAGTTGTCTTTCAGTCTTCAAACTTCAGGCTTCGAGTTTCCATCTTTTTCTGGGCTTTCTCGTGTATTTTTGAAGAGGTTGAGAAGAACCGTCGAAGGGAAGCTCGCCAAATGCCATTTTGAGTAATAAATTCTTGCTCCTGTTTTTTTTAAAACCCATATTTAAAATTTCATCTTGTTGAGGTTCACAGGTTTTAGTGTGAGGAGGTCCTTTGGGGGATCCTAACCCACATCTCGCAGAGTCACTGGCTGTCTTGGGGAAGGGACATCTGCCGATGGGGTTGACTAGATTGTCACCTCTGTTCTCAGAAAGTCGTTGGTGATGCCATTGGACAGGGGAAAGTTCCCGGATGCAGTCCTGGGGTCAGGGAGGCGCTGAGCATCCTCAGCACCGAAAGTCGCACCTGTGAACTCCGGTGAGGTTCCCTGAGCGCCCCGAAGAGCCACGCCCCGCGGTGCAGGTGGAGTCCGGGTTGTTCACTCCTATTTCCCACACGCTCCAAGACTGACTCCGGTGTCCCCTGGTGCTGGTCTGGCTTAGACCCATGAAGCCAAAAAGATGTGACCCCTGCTCTCAATGGACTTAAGTAGGAGAAAATCCTTTCTTGGTTGTGTGATGTCCTGTAGCGCAAGGTGACCGCACCATTATTTTCTTATATGTGTGAACGTTGATAGTTCTAAGTTCCTTCTTTAAAGATTATAAAAGCATGTATTCTGGATATGCGTTCCTTATTGAATATGCATATTAAAGAATCTTCTCTAATTTAAAAAACAAAAAGATTATAAAAGCAATGTATTTACCAGCAAAACTCTCCAAAAATAGGAAAAGAAGTAACAGTACACCCTGCTGTATTCCTCCCCTGCCTCACCCTCACTGACTCCAAACTAGCCATTGTTAACAGTTGTATTTCCTCTACACCCCTCTTGACCCTCAAAACACACACACACACACACACACACACACACACACACACGAGAGGGCCATTCTTTGCCTTTAGAAATTGAATCACGTGTTAGACATTACTCTGTCACTTAATCTCCCCCTGATACCTTCCGGCTATCCTTCCAGGTCAACAGATACTAACTCAGTCTTTTTCATGGTGGCATAATATTCCACTGGTCAGAATCCCCCCATTTATTCAACCATAAAGTGGACTTTTCACTCTATTTCCAGTTATTGCTGTTGCTATCCTTCTTATTCCCATATCCTTGTGTACTAGTGCTTTTGTTTTTCTGCCTGGGCTTCCAAAAATGAGACTTCTGGATCAATTAGGGCGTAGTCTAGTAGATATTGTCAGATTATGATTTTAAAAGATCGCAGCAAGGGGGGATTTGTTATCAGACCAATGTCTTTATTAGTAAGATAGAGAACCCCACACTTAGAAAGGAGATCCCCCAGAAGGGGATGGAAGCACAAATGTGAGCCCTGAGTTTCGGTCTGACCTTGGCCTTGGGCAATGGCAAAACCAAGTCTGGCCTCCTGTTTTGTGGTGGACCTTGTTCTGGGAACAATAAAGGCAGCGTTGCCATTTATTGAGTGTTTTCTGGGTGACATGGCAATGCCTCAAGCCCTCAGCTTCCACCTCACTCTCATTTCTGTGTATTTTTAGTTTATTTTTATTTTCTAATTTTTATTGTTTTGGTACTGAGGATTGAACCCAGGAGTGGTTAACCACTGAGTCCCATCCCCAGACCTTCTATATTTTGTTTAGAGACAGGCTCTCGCTAAGTTGCTCAGGCCCTCGCTAAGTTGCTGAGGCTGGCTTTGAACTCGAGATCCTCCGGCCTCAGCCTCCCGAGCTGCTGGGATGACAGTGCATGGCCCTGCCCCACCCGCCTCGTGTTCTGACCACCACGGGGGTTTCTTCCAATGATGCCATTGCCGAGTCCCATCTGCCATGAACCCAGACACTCGCCTTGAGCAAGGTCAAGGCCGATCCTTGCTTCCTGTCGTGAAGGAGGACACTCCTGGGTAAGGTCCTTGCAGTGAGTCTGACCTGCAGGATGTGGGCCCTTCACGGGGACCTCTCTTTGCTCTCTCTTGACAGGAGACAGTCCTAGCTGGAGTGCAGACTCTGGGATCAGTTGGGAACCCACCTGTGTCCTTCAGCAGTTGTCCTGAGACTCTGAGCCTCCTGCTCTCTTGGCCCATGGCTGCCCGACTCAGTCTCCTGTCTTCTCCCAGAGCACCGTCCCCTGGGGGGACAGGCCATGTCCCTGCCCCTTGGCTTACAGGTGCTGAGGCAGCACAACACTGGCGGGTGTGGCTTCGTGATCATTACATTCAACAGTGTTTTAAAGTAACGGCGAGGGCTCTCAGGAGAGAGGGACAGTGAATTCCCGGTTATCGAGGGCTCACCGTGGGACAGGTGCTGTCTTGGAACCTAATAAGCATTCACTCTGCGGAGCAGGAATGATTATTTCTATATGGTAGTTTTCTATGTAGTATTATTTTATAGTCATTTCTATGAGCTGTAGACATCCCCACTGAATGAAGAAGAAAAATGAAATTTAGCAGAATCAGGGTGACTTTGCAAGAATCGCCTTGGTGGTGGCGATGGTGGCTGTGACAGCATCTTGAGCCTTTTCAATGAGCAGTCATTCATCTCAGGCTCTGTCTGCACTGTCTCTGTTAGTGCTCGAAGCCACGAGTCATCCAACCAGCAAATTCTACTATTATTATCCCCGTTCACAGATGGAAAAACTGAGGCCCCAGTTCAGTGACTTGCCAAAGGCACTTGGTGATGGTTGGCACTCCGGTCTTTCTGATTCCTTAGAAGGGCCTCTTCCGCTTGCTTTGGAAGGGAAATCTTCTGTGGCAGTGATTCAAATCTAAACATCCAGCTTCCTGGGCCACTCTGAGATGCAGTGTCATGCCACCACCCAGGAGGCCTGGGGACAGGAAGCCAGATCCCATGTCCCTCCTTCTTCTGGACCCCGTGGGCAACATGATTCTGCATCCTGTCTCGTGGCTCCACAGACGGTCTGTGCTTGGCACGGCCCGCTGTCCCCATGGAACATCTGTGCCCACTACTTCTGTGAGTGATTCTATTTTCCACACATCCCCAGCTCGTTAGAAAGCAAGGCTCCTATTTGTTGGTGGATGTTTGCAATCTGAAGCCGAAACAGACAAGAAAAATGATTGAGCTGATTCACGCTGGAGGGGAGTCTCACACACTCACACACACACACACACACACACACACACACAAACACACACGCACAATTAGTGAGGACCGATCTCTGGCATCTGATCCAAGGCCTGAGGTGACTTTGTCCACCCAGGGGCCATTTGGCTCTTGGTGACGCCTGCCCAGTGGGGAGATGGTCATGCAGCGATGGTGGTCTTCCCCGACCAGGGCTGCAGCCCAGCGTCCTCTGGACCAGGCAACCAGGCGAAGTGTCAATGTCCTAAGACACCCTCCCTCAACCAATGTAATGTGAAAGCTGAACTAAGCAGCGCCCCGCAGCCCGGCCAACCCGGGGCCCTGCACAACGGTCCCTCTGCCCCTTTACAAATGCACAGAGCTTCCTCAACATTCCTCTCAGATTTTCCACTTTTGGTCTTTGGCCAAATGCAATCTTTAAAAATACACATTTGGCAAGAATCTGGAAAAAAAATCCCTTCAGATTGTTATGTGATGGTGGGGAAAGACACGCTTTTTTTTTTAAACTCTAAAAAAAGCACCTTAGCATTTTGTAGGCTTTTATAATTCTCAAACAGCTGAAATGCTAAAACTTTCAAGTTGGCAGGATTGAAACTGAGAGCTGCAAAGCCGGTTCCCTTTGACAGGAGTGGGTTCCTCGTCTTGCAGACGGGTTTGATGGACCCGCGTCCTGAGCCTTCAACACAGCGGGTGGCCACCCACCGGCAGGGAGCCCTTCACCCCTGGGTCTCCATCTCCCTTCTAGCTGCAGGTACAGACCACTCTGGGAGCCACTGTGGGGCTAACCCACAAAGGCTACCCCACTGCCCTCCTAGCTCCTGGTGGTGTAGCCTAGTGGTTAGGGATTCGGGCTGTGAAACCAGACCCACCCAGGGTTGGCAGACTGCCTGGTTCCATTGCTATGAATGACATGACCTCACTCCAGCTCCTCTGTGCCTCGGTTTACTGATCTGTAAAATGGGAATCATCCTGATCTGATGGGATTGCCACGGGGCCCAAGCAAGTTAATTTTTATAAAGGGCCTTAGACCCATACTAAGAACCCAGAGGTCATTCCATAATATTGGCTATCGCTTATTAACAAGACAGATGTGGGTCAGGAGCGAGGGACCGGGGGCACTCCCGCCTGGAAGGATAGAAAGGCTCGGGATATAGCTGGCAGGGGTGAGATTAGCCCAAAGTCCATCAATAATGAAGACCTACTATGTGTCAGAGACTCTCCTGGGATTCAGAATTAACAGTTAGTATATTGGTGAGCTATGCCCATTCAGTTTCCAGAAAGGACTGAAGGAGATTCCTAGCCATACAACATACATTGGGGTGATTTTAAATTATACCCTAAAAAATGGGAATATAGAAAAAAAACAAGAATGACTCTAAACATGTGTATGGTGATGATTTAGGGTAGTTCATGAGGTTGCCTGCAAACCAAGCTTCCCCGAAGCCCCTTGAAACCAGCATGCGCCATCAGTCAGGCCGGGTCCAGGGCTCGTCCCTGGACAAATCATTTCATATCTCAGAGTTCTGAGTTTCTTCACCAGTGGTGAGAATAATGATTGTACTCCTGGGTCATTTTGAGGGTAAGACAAAATAACAATCGTAGGTAGATAAGATTGTTTATCACCGCTCAGCCATGCAGCAAGTAATCAATAAGTAGTAGTTCAATAAAATTGACCGTTTAGAGATTACACAACATTCCTTAGTACCAAGATCAGAGAGGAATGCCCCCCTTCCTAAGAGAGAGAGAGAGATGTCACATAACAAGGCACAGTGACCTCAGTGGTGGCCGATGGCAAAATCCCCAGTGCTCAGGACCTTGGCAGAAGCACAAGTGCAGTCCCAGCTCTGCCGCTGACCAGCTGGGTGACCTTCAGGATGCTGCTTCACTTTGCTGAGACTTGTCTTCATCTGTAAGAGCAGAATGGCAGGACCTCCCCCCTGGGATGGTTCTGGAAATGAAAGGCGGTTATGATGAATGAAGGACTTGAACAGGTGGGGGCCGATGACCCCCGGTGGCTGCCACGTTGGTGGTTGTCTTGTAACTGATCGGGGTGATGCGGAGTGTCAGTCAGAGTACTCGGGAGGCCTGCGGCCCTGGCCTACCTCTCAGCCACCCCAGCCATGGAGCCATGCACTTCAAGACTGCACTGCAGAGTTCAAGTGCAGCTGGGCTTATCTTGCCGACTGAGCACCGATCCTGCACAGCCCTCCCTCGGTACCCAGGGGGACGGCTCTCAGGACCCTTCGCAGACACCAAGCCCACAGATCCTCAAGTCCTTCCTATAAGATGATGTCATACTTCTATGTAACCTAAAGAAATCCTCCCATAGGTGTTAGATCATCTCAATTACTCCTAAAACAATGTCAACTCTAGGTAAACAGTTGTTCAATGGCCTAGTTAGGGAATAATGACCAGGAAAACCGTCTATATGCGCCCAGTATGGATGCGATTCTTTTTTCCTGAATATTTCCAATCTGTAGTTAGTTGAATCAGAAACCCACCTGTAGGCTTAAATCATCAAGAGAAAAGTGCAGAGAGAATCCTTTAGGGGAAGAAGATGAGGGACAATGGAAGGACCTGGGCCTGCATGAAAGGCCATTTTAGGATCTTCTTTAGAACAAAGACAGATGCACGGCATGGAGTTATTTGTGAGTTATTGCAGTTAGGAGCAGGCTGTCCTGGGTTCAGGGTCTGCTTCCACTACTTTCTGGCTGTGTGACCTGCAACAAGTTGCTTAATCTCTCTGTGCCTCTGTTTTCTCATCTGTTTTTAAAAAAAAAAAAATGACAATATTAGTGTACCTGAACTTCATGCTGTTGGAGAAGGATTGCGGGAACTGGTACCTGTGAGATGCATTCAAAGCATTGTTCAAGGAGTCCATGAAGGTGAGGAAGGGCAGACCGTATGGAGGAAAGGGATCAAGGGGACGTCATTCTGAAGGGCGGCAGAGTGGAGTGAATGCATTTTAGGATGAGCCAGTGGGGACAGAGAGACTGAGGCAGAGGAAGGCTGGCGATTGAGGAGGTAAAGACACGGGGGCGACAGACAAGCTGGGCTCCTGGGCACAGGTGGAGCGGATACCCGGCCGCGGAGGAGGAGGAACACACGCGTTGGGGCTGAGCAAGGTGGCAGCTAAGTTTAGCGCTGGAAGGGAAGGCTCTGAATATGCATGTCCCGTCCCACTGTGCCAACCGCACGGGGGAGACGCTGGCGCAGGGATTCCTGCAGGCTGCGCTGTCCCCAGGGTCACCGATCCCCTGGACTCTCTTCAGGGGCCCAAGAGGGACCCTCCTCGCTTTTGATAAATGAAACTAGCTCATGAGCGGCTTTGGATCTGCAGGGGCCTGGATTCCCTTTGGACCCCAAGAAGCTCTGCTCTCCCATCCCAGGCTGAGACCCTCCGAAACCCAGAAGGGTCCTGGTGGGGTTCCTGTCCCCTGTCCCTGGAGCTCAGGTCCCTCCCACTCCTGCGGCCACACCCTCCCCCAGCCCCAGCCCCCAGCCCCCCGATTCCCCTCTGCTCCTCTCCTCCGGCTCCCTCTGTATCTCGCTCCCACAAATCTATATTCAGTTTCTGTCTCCCAAAAAGAAAAAGGCGAGTAGGAGGACAAATTGTTTAAGCAACGCAGCTATTTTAACAAAATGCTTTTTTCCCTTTGAGTCAGTCCTAAGAAATTTGAGTAAAATCTAAGCCGGAATGAACTTTAAAAAAAAAATTAAATGAATTAGGAAAAAGTGTACCCCCCCACCACCACCACCCCAGGTAGAATGGGGAACAGGGAAGGGAAGGGCCGGGCCCATCCAGAAAGGAAACCCACCAAGCGCTTGCTGAGAACGGACAGCTGCCAGACGAAATGGGGACCCTGCTTCTGCTGTGACAAGGCTGAGAGTCTGCGGTGCCCAGCCCCGAGGCCAGCCGCTGAGGCTCCTGGGAACACATGGAGGATGGCTTGTGGCCATTCAGATCTCAGCCACTCGGACCTGGGTCCCTCCCTAAGTCAGGAAGTCCTTGCCCCTGGGATTTAAAGGTCCTGGAGCTGTATTTACCCATGAAAAGGCTTCTCTGTTGGAAGAGCCGGAATCCTAGCTCTGACCTCAGCAGTAACAGTAACCAGAGCGTGGCTCACTCCACATTTCCCCCACTCTTGTTCTAGAAAGTTCATCAGAGCGCAAATGAGTGGGAACAGAACCTGCGCTCATGAATAAGGATAGAAAGGATATCACGTGATTCTTGAGCCACTGAGATTAGGTGCCTCTCTCTCCTAGATCCATGTTGATTTCAGCTTGAGAAAGCTGAGGACCAGAGACACTAAGTGGTCTGCCCAGCGACATTCAGCAGAGGCTTTTCACTCCCCTGCAGGGAACCCCAGGAAAGAGCCAGAAGGGGAGATTGTCTCTCACAATGGGCCCCCTGCATCTGACTGGGAGATCCATGCCGGGGAAACCTTAAAAACCCATCCCCTGCTTCTCCTTCCAATCTCCTCCCTCCAGCCTCGTCCTCAGCCGCAGGAAAATATTTCCATAGAAAACGACTCTTGTCTTATCTCCCTTCTGAGAAAAGGTGCTGCTTTGGAGAAAATGGATTCTTCCCACAGACCTGGTGTGGTGCACCTGCTTGTAGGTGGAGGAGCAGGAAGGAAAAAAATCTACGGAGCCGTAAAATTGCTTCCTTGGCTTCTCTGTAAACTCATCTTAGGACACTGGACGAAGATTCTAGAAAGTCCCCCCCCACACACACACACACTCCAGGCAGCTGGGCCAGCCTCTGCTTGGCTTAGGAATGAGAAATCCCCTGAGTCAGCCCGTGTCAAGGGACAGGACACCATCCCTGCTGGCAGCCAAGCTGCCCGGCCACAGCCTGGGGGTTCCCGCCACTGTTCATTAGCGCTGGCCACAGGCTGCAGGGAAGTCTGTCTGCTCCAACGGGCAGAAGGTCCGGGTTCCGGGGCACTGGAGGAGATAATTGCCTTTTTATCCAGGGGACTCTTGGCAAGGGGGTCAGGTGGCTTGCCCACTTCAGAAAGTGCGGGCGGATGATGAGATAAAGCCACGCTGGCCTCCACTGCTGGCCAACACACAGAAGAAGGGTGGTGCGGGAGCCGCTGTGCTGTAGAGGGAACGACAAGGGACCGGAGGGGACTCGGGCCTGAAATCTCGCCAGGGAGGACAGCCCTGTGACAGTTCATCTGGCAAAATTAGGAAAGGGATCCTTGCCCTGAATATTTCATACGACTGTCTTGAGAATTCAGTGGGATGCGAGGTGGGAAAGGGCTTTGAGGATCATGCCCCACTTCATGCTGCATTCATTCATCCCTTCATTCATTCCTTCATTCATTCTACTGGTGGTTGGCGGTGCCCCACCCTGGGGATCGCTGGTGCCAGGCAGCCAGGGTACCTGCCCTGACGTCCATGTGTGCACAGCAGTCTGTGCTGAAGAGCGCCCTCCAGCGGCCAAGTCCTGACCTCCACCTGCCTTTTGAGGGTGAAGAGGTTACCCGGGATGGAATTCAGGGGCACTCGACCACTGAGCCACCTCCCCAGCCCTATTTTGTATGTTATTTAGAGACAAGGTCTCACTGAATTACTTTGCACCTTGCTTTTTGCTGAGGCTGGCTTTGAACTCACGATCCTCCTGCCTCAGCCTCCAGAGCCGCTGGGATGACAGGCGTGTGCCACTGCGCCAAACTGGAGCCCAGATGTGCTCCCTGGAGACCCCGACATGTCACAACTGCCACCGAGATGCTGGCTTTGGAAAGCACCTCCTCCCTGCCGAGTTCCCTAGGGTGCCCGCTGGGACTGGGAACCTCCAGAGATCTCGGCTGGCTGTTCCCCGGGCTGGTGTTGGCTAGCTCTCAGCCTTCAGAGATGGTGCAATTTCTGCCCGGGCTGCTGTGATTCTTTGAAGTGTGAGTAATAAAAACAACTGGCATCTATTGAGTGCTTTATATGCTAGGTGCTAGGCCGAGAAATCATACCTCAGCGCAGACTGCGATGGGTGTGTCTCTCCTTCCCCACATGCACGTGGGGAAGAGTGGTCTAGGCTTTCCTTTCCTGCACGATTCACATACTAACTCATTAGTCCTTAGAACAACTCTAAGGGGTATTAGGATTCTCTCCATTTCATAGATGAGTAAACTGAGGTGCAGAGAGCTTAACTAACTCTTCAAGGTCACTGTTAGCAAGCGCAAGAGCCAGGATTTGAACCGGGGTCATTGCTTTAACTAACAAGCTCTGCGTCCTCTCAGGAGGACGGCGATTCTGCAATTTGATGCATCACATCCAAGTAAGACATAGCTTTAGATCCAGGTGTGAGTCTTCCCGCAGGATGGCGAGGTGGGGTGCCCCCGCATCCACCCGTCCACCAGGGCTGACCCCTCTCCACGACCTGGCTCCGGCTCCTGTCCCCTTCCTGGCACTTCCATTTAGGGGTGTGAAGTCCATCTTCTCGCCTTCCATCTTGGTTTCGCCTGCGGGGTCTCAACGTGGCTTCTTGGTTTCTTCTCCAGGTCTGTCTTCCCAGCCTGCATCTCAACAGACTCCCTTGCAGAAAACAAAATGAAACCTCTTCCTCAACAGACTCCCAGCTGTGCCAAGAAACTAATCAATTACAGTTGAGATAAGAGCTGTGGGAACAGCAGAGGAGGCAGAGGCGGGTGTGGTGAGGCGCCTTATCTCTGAAGACACGCCTCAGCCCTTCCTTGCAAAAGAAGGGCCTGGCTTGCTGGGGACCTGCGCTTCTCCCGTGGAGATTTCCACCTCTGCTGCTTCCCCACAATGCCTCTCCCCTCCTGCTCTCTCCTCCTTCCGTGAAGATATTCAAGAATTAGTCCTCCTCCTTCTTTCTGGGTGTGCATGACAACTATCGCTGTGTCTGAATAATTAAATTAACTTCCTATTATACAACCAAGACTCTCAAAAGACCGTCAGAGGGAGGAGAGAAGGGCTTCTGGTGCCTCCTTGAGTCACAGTTCTGAGGAAGTGATCCCTGGGTTGGAGACAGCGTCCTCGTCATTCAGAGTATGCCAGGCAGATTGGGTCGGCAAATGGTGCTGGAACTGTCCCGCACACGGGGACGGGAGCTAGAGAACAGTGGGGCTGAGGGGCCTCAGTCCTGGCTGCACAGGACCTGGGGACTGCCTAAAAATGTTGCTATCTGCCCCCCTCCTCCAGATCCACTCAAATCAGATTCCTGCGCAACAACTGGTTTTGAAGCCACTCAGGGGATTCTAACTGGGGTGAGAACTGGGGTGGTACAGGAAGCAGGGCCTCCAAAAACAAAATTAAAACCTCTCTAAGCTTAGAATTTCAAATAAGAGAGGACACATCCATCCACCCATCCACCCATCCATCCACCCATCCATCCACTCATCCATCCACCCATCCACCCACCCATCCATCCACCCATCCATCCACCCATCCACCCATCCACCCATCCATCCACCCATCCATCCACCCATCCACCCATCCATCCATCTACCCACCCACACATCTACCCATCCACCCATCCATCCACCCATCCACCCATCCACCCATCCATCCACCCATCCACCCATCCATCCACTCATCCACCCATCCATCCACCCATCCATCCACCCATCCACCCATCCATCCACCCACCCACCCACTCATCCATCCACCCATCCACCCATCCATCCACCCATCCACCCATCCATCCATCCATCCACCCATCCACCCACCCACTCACTCACTCAGCAAGTATTTATTGAGAACCTATTATTCACCAGGAACATCGGAGTCTCCCC